GTGAACATCAAACTTATTCTCAACTGTCCTAGTGAAAGTTTTTATTGGTATCTATTTTTATTTTTGAAATTTACCAGTAGCTGCTGCATTTCCCACCCTCGGCTTATACTCGAGTCAATAAGTTTTCCCAGTTTTTTTGTGGTAAAATTAGGTGCCTCGGCTTATATTCGGGTCGACTTATACTCGAGTATATACGGTATGAAACTTTCAGAAATTTATTTGCCAAAAGTGAACATTACTTTGTTCCTTTTTCTCCTACTCTTTAACAGATTGAAATGCCTTGTTATTGCAGCACATTTATGCTTTTCATTTCAAGATGACATGAATCAATATAATACTATTATATAATAACAAAGCCATGCAATACAAGAATATTGTGAAAATAGTAAGAAAATTTGCATTACACAAATTGTAAATAATGAGAGTTTTTAACATTTCTTCTACCACCCACCATACTATTTTTCAAATTATTTAATCAGGGAATTTCAAAAGTCCTTTATAAAATGATGTGGGAAGTTTGTTATTCCAAAGGAGAAAAGGGTCTGGAAATGCTAAATACTGTGTCTTAGATCTTACTCTATATTCTTTAAATCACCACATAAGGGAAATAATTCTATAACCTGCATTCATATTATTTAATATAATTTGCTTTTAAATGAAATTTTATTTGATTTAACTGTTCCTTAGTTCCTCTCTTATTAAATAAGGAAAACTAAGTCCAGAAAGGGCAATCAGAAAGTATTCTTTTAACCCTGATTGAACATGGCAATCTTACAAACCTTCCCTTATATTATCCTAGAAATTAGGATAAATTCTGATTTCTTAAAAAAATGTGTATTCCCCCTCCCAAATTTGCTGTTCATCTATGATTCAAAGCAAAAATCCTTCAGCACATCAATAGGTTTCTGTACTTCAGGGGTGTCAAACTGGCAGCCCGTGGGCTGGATGTGTCACATGCAAGCCATGCCCACTCTAGCTCCACGAACGGGAAAAAGTCATGAAAAGTCACATTATGGCAATGTGATGCTGCAAGTTTGACAGCAGTGCTCTACTTTATCCTTTTGTTTGTTGCTTCTTAAAAAGTCCTTCCAAATGTTAATAGAGCTGTTTTGTATATCCAGAGGGGGAATATATCCAAATCAACTTTGTGATTTAATGTCTGCTCAACTTCTGTAGGGAATAAGTCATCTGTCGGACCTATTTGTATAGCGTTTAAATCCTCCTTCAAATTAATTTCATAAACATCAATTGCAGCCCATTCTTGTTTTGTAATTTTATATGAACATGCTCTATTAATTTTATGAATCGTCTGATCTATTCTGCCCAAAGGTTGAGCTGAAAGGTAGTTAAAATTTTTCACTAAGGATTTTTGCTCCATTTTCTTTATCCTCTGGCTCCCTTGTACAGTCCTCAAGGTCTTCTAATGAATACAATAGAACCTTGCTAATCTGAAGGCTCTTAATCTTTCCAAGATACAAAGAATAAAGAAAATAATTGAAAAAGTGATTAAGATAAAAGGCTCAGTCCATGAAGTGCAAATTGGAGTTTGATGTAAATTCCAACTCTTAGCCCACTCCACTCATGAGCTGATCATAAAAAAAGACAATTTCCACAATCTAATGAAGAATAGCTGTCCAGAATCTCATGGACAATCTCACTTGTGTTCCTGAAAGATTATGCTGACTTAGAACTGGCGTCCAGTGTCAATTTCACTTGCAAAATTGTGTGGCTAACTAAGAAAAGTCAGCAAGGCCTCTTAACCATGGCACATACAGGAAGTTTCTTCCAAAAGTGTTTTCCATCTCTTTCCTTCTCACCCACCCATATTTAATGCAGTAAGTTGCTTACCACACTAAATTGCTTTGTTTTCCTTGATTCCTATGTTTTAGATCAGAAACACCTGGGACTGTTGAAAGTGAAACATTATTTTTAGCTCGCCTGAATTTCATTTGGAAAGGCTTTATCAACATGCCATCTGTGGCGAAGTTTGTTATCAAGGCTTACCCAATCTCTGGTTCATTTGAAAGTTTAACAGAGGTAATGTATGGTGTACTTAACAAATCTACCATTTTCTTGGGGATTTTCTGAATTTTCTTTTACAATGGACAATGAAATGTTGCAGTGTAAAATTACCGAGGATGGCATTAGAGCAATGTACTTTTTTGCACGTAGATTATGAAAGTTATATTTCTTTTATTGAGGAAAAAATACTGTCTTGTGTAAAAAAATATACATCTACTTTTCCATAGGATTTGCCAGATAGCATCCAAGTAGGTGGCAGGATATCACCACAGACTGTTTGGGAATATGTTGATAAAATAAAGGCTTCAGGTACAAAGGTAAAAAAGTATTTGTAATATACTTTTTTGTAATATAATATGGCATTAGATGCTCAATGTTCTTTGATTTTTAAAAAGAATAGGATTTCATGCTGGTGCTGTTATTACCTGAAATAAATTAATCAGTACTGTTTGCATGAAATCCAATGCAGAAAACAAATAAATCGCACTGTTCCTTATTCAGTAATGAATCCAGTAGCTAGATGATGTACTCATTTTCAGTATATGGGAGATAAATTAAGATACAGAAAAACCCAGGGGATGAGGAATATTATAAATAAAGAAAAGAACTTGTAGCTATGATACTTGTACATATTCCCATTTCAGAAATACTGTTAAGCACTAAAATTCTTTTTGATATAGCTTGTATGTCATTTCTCTGTACATTGGTGGCATCTAAAACATCCTTCAATTTATGACAAATGATTTTATTTTGATTCATGTTAATGTTTCATGTATTCAAAATACATAATATGGTTTAATGCACAACTTTGTTTCAGTACCCATTTTTTGAGATAATCATTTACTATGTTGCATAAATTTTAAAGTTTGCCTTCCTCATAGGTTTACAAATTAGGCTTACAAATTAGATCCGTTTAAATAGTCTAGCATTTAATTACCATTGTTTTGAGATAGCTTCAAACTGCATGTGTCTTCCTGGTATGCAACAGCAATATGAAAAACTGGAGCATTCTCTCTTATTTACTGATTTACTTATTAAATTTGCATACCATTCATTTGATGATCAAGCAGCTCTGGATGATAATCATGAGTGAATTTTCCGGCATCTAAAATCAATGAAGTACAAACATTTTGTTACCCCTATGAATGAAAATTGATGTATGTGTGTATTTATTTTAAGAACATGGTGATAATTAATAAATGTTTTCCTTTTTTCATAATAGGAAATATGTGTGGTTCGTTTTACTCCTGTTACAGAAGAGGATCAGATTTCATACGCTTTGCTTTTTGCGTACTTCAGCAGCAGAAAACGTTATGGTGTAGCAGCGAATAATATGAAGCAAATCAAGGATTTATATATTATCCCTTTAGGTGCTTCTGATAAAATTCCACATCAGTTAGTACCCTTTGATGGTCCTGGTAAGTAAGAAAGATAGGCTGAACAATCCTTTGCACTAAAGTATTATTGATTTAAAAAAAAAAACTAAGAACAATCTCCTTTTTAATTTTCTGAATTTTTTTTAAACTATGCTAGAACTAAAATAGTTTGACGATTTATTGCAGAGCATTCATGAATATTGGAAATGAAGCTTTGCATATTTTTTCAAAGAGCAAACATGCATTTCTTTCTCTGTTTAGCTCATGGATAGAATTAGTATTCTTGATTTAACAGATAAGTATTTTACAGTGTAAAATGTACTTTTACATAGCAATTATTTGGAGAGTGAAATTTTGTCAGTGCTTCTTAAAATACAGTACATTTTGTAACATCAGTGAACCATTTAAGCTAATTGGCATTGTAGAGACTCAGGGTGGCTTGTTTTAATTGAAAAAAAAAATCCAAGATACATGTTTCCCATTATTACATTGCTCTTTTTTTAATATGCTATATATGTGTGTGTGTATGTATGTGTGTAGGAATTGAAGTCCATCGTCCCAACTTGCTGCTGGGATTGATAATTCGTCAGAAGCTAAAAAGGCAGATCAGTGCTGTGGCTAATTCGACCATTACCCAAGCTGAAGAAGGTCCTGAAAATTTGCAACCAGAGAAAAAAAGTAAACTGAACAAATCGGAAGTCCTTCATTCTGAGTTAAATGAAAGAGAAGAAGAAAATGATTTCTTTAATTCATTCACTGCAGTACTGCACAAGCAGAGGATCAAATCCCAACAATGTAGCACAGAAGAAGTCACAGTGAATGAACCTGCTGTGGAGAACATCAAACTTGAACCCCCCAAACCGCTACGGTTCCTTCCTGGGGTTTTGGTTGGATGGGAAAATCAGTCATCTGCTCTCGAACTAGCAAGTAAGCCACTGCCAGTAGATGACATTCTTCAAAGCCTTTTGGATACTACAGGGCAGATGCCTGAACATATCCAACCAACAGTAGACACTTCGATTAATGAAGATCTGCCTTTATTAGAGAAAAGGACCAACGTAAAGGAAGAAAACATAGACATTCCAGTGGGTGTTGAAGATACAAGGCATAAAAAGGACAATGCAAAAGAAACCATCAACAATACTTTAGCAGTGGATGTATCAGTAGATTTCCCTTGCTCTTCAGGAACTCTTACAAGTCTGAGTCTTAAAGAGAAACCACCAGATGTTTCCACTGAGGTATTTTTAGCAAACTTAACTATTCTATCACAGAATAAGGAAAACCAAGAGACTCCAGAAAACAGTTTAAAGTTGGGTGATGCAGATAATGTTCCTCAGGAAAATAAAAGATCCATAGATTTTCCTGTTCCTTCCAATGCTGGAAAAGGAGTTGGGAGCAATAATGTTGGAACAGTATCTGTTGATACTATGACCATGCATAGTTCCAAATCTCCACCATTCATTAATCTTAAGAGAGACCCAAGGCAAGCAGCTGGACGAGGCCAACAGAACAATAGTTCAGAAAGTGAAGGCGATAGCACTAGAAGTGAAGATATACAGCAGCTTGATACTTTAGAATCTGAACGGTCAAAAGTCGATAACAAGCAGACTTCAGGAAATGAATTAGCTTCAGATCAGACCGATAACCAAGCATGCAAGACAACATTGGTTTCAAATGCATCTAAAGGAGATGGTGAATGTACCTCACAGCTTAAAGACGCTCTGATGCAAAACATTGAGACTGGAAATTCTGAGAGAGAATTATTGCCACCGCCGCCGCCACCCTCTTCATCAACATCATTGTCATCTCAGTTTGAAGCGGAAAATACAAGTCATCAATGTGACTTCAGTACCAAATTACCTGCCACAAGTGGAAATTTCTCACCAATTAGGACTCCTCAACCCAATTTCCCCCCCGCTAAAACAACTCCTCCTGGTTTTCAATTTCAAGGGGCCATTGCCCCTAATTTCTCCCCACCAAACACTCCTATATTTGGGTTTCCCCATCATCTGCCCCCACCGCTCCTTCCACCCCCAGGCTTTGGTTTTGCTCAAAGCCCTCTCATGCCTTGGCCCTCCGTACTTCACCTGCCAGGTCAGCTACCCCACTTTGTTGGACCAGTTACACCAGCCCCTCCCATCACTCAGAAACCATCAAGATTCTCAGGGCCTGAACACTTTTATCAAAACAAAAACACTAGGAGACACGAAAGGCGTCACAGTGATCCCTGGGCAGGCCGACAGGGTCCTCATGTGGAGAGGGCCTTCAGTAGGAGGAAGAATGATCAACACAGGCAAAGGTTTTATAGCGAATCTCACCACCCCAAAAAGGGCAGGCATGACTGGGAGTTGGATCCTGAAAGAAGTCGACACCGAGACCGAAGTTCAGAGAAAGAGAGGGAAAGGAAAAACAGGGAGGAAGGCCATCGAGACAAAGAGAGGTTGCGGTTTTCACATAGTGATAAGGATTCTGAAAGCAAATCCTCACAAGAAAGTAGAAATCCTGAAAAGAAGGATGTTCCTAGAATTGAAGAGCGCTTTCACGAAAAAGAGAAAGAAAGAGAAAAGAGTAGGGAACGGCCAAAGGAGCAAGACAATGAAAAGAACCGAGAAAGGCATCACAAAGACAGGGACCAGAGTGATCGGGGTAAAAACAAAAGGTGAAAGGAAAAAAAATGAGAAAGAAGACACAGTCTGTCTTCTAGTTCTAAACAAATAGAACATAATATGTTTAAATATGTCCTAAAGCTGTCTGTATAATATATGCTTGGATATAATTGTGCCATCAATACTTTCTTTTTATATTCAATGTTTAATGTTTTGTAGGACTAAGTCTGTTCTGGTACCAGTCTGTGTACCGCACATTCATTTTCTTTTACAATCTCTTGACATAGGAGTAGAGTTGAATAGTTGGAAGATTTTACTCTGCTTGTATAGAAAAATGACTGAAAGGGGCTTCTTTTAATATGCAATAAAAGACACATTACAGATTCTTTGTCAAATTGGGCTTCAGTTGAGCTATTTGTAGCCTTTGATGATTTGTACTTTGCATTTGGAGCTGCTCCAGCAAACATGAAGATGGATTTGTTGTGTTAAGTATGACAACACAGCACTGGCTTTGAAAACGAGAGATTGTAATGCAGCCCTATTCCAATGCATATGAATTCAAAAGATTCCAAAGAATAAGGAAATGGTGGCGGCAGAGGGAATTCCACCTGTATTAATTATTAATCATTGGGCATCTCTGATAGAAGTGGCCTGTGAGCAGATACAGTCCAGATTTTACTGCTTTGGGGCACACTTTTTAGTGGGCTATTTTGCAGCTTTAACCTTTCCATCATTGATGGGTCACCTCCTGAAATGAATAAAACTAATGACTTCAATTAGTGTTGGGACTGGAATTAAATATATTTGTCCACTTTTAATCGTTAAGCGCCATCTAGGAGAATTTGCTGGAGTTCTCAAGCTTTGGTCATTGGGTTTTTATCGGCAACAACAAAGCCTAGATCAAGGTTGACTGTGTTTTCCACTTCATCTGCACAAAGGCTTTTTTTTTAATGTGACCACCACCACTCCTGATGGCAATTTAAGAACCCTAGCTTTCAGCTGAAATTAATATTTTAGCTATTTCTCATGCTTTGAAAACTTGAATACCTGAGCTTGTACATGAGACTTGTGTTTTACTATTCTTTATATTATAAAATGTAAATATTTTAAGGGGTATTTTGATTCTACAAATGATAACCTTCTCACAGTTGTTTGCTTGATTTTAATAGATGTGGAGCAATAGGCTATATACCAGTATAACAGAAAGATGTATAAATATGGCTTGCCTTTACAGTTCATGACTGGTAATTTTTAATAACCCACAGGGTTTTTAATAAATAGATCAGTAAAATGTGATTTTTCTGTGAAATATTATAGTATATTGGTTTCTCTGTTAGATATCATTGCACTACTCTGTTCAACATCCTATTTTGAAGTATTTAGTAAAATTAAGAGCATTGTGCATAAAAAAAGAAACCTTTAATTAAACCGCCTTACCTATGAACATAGATTTTGCACTTTGGTATAAGAAAAACTATCTCTCAATAATATGTGATTAAAATAAATTGTTAGGCTATTTTAAAATCTTATTTAAATATAATAGCCAGTTTGCAAACCTTGCACATGGCTTTATTTAGTCAAATTAAAAATGCTATATCATAAATTGCTTGATGGTACCTTTTTTGTTTTAAGTGATGGTCCAAAATGTTGACTCATTCATGCATATAATCAGTCTACATTTTCAACAGAAATGCAAGCATATGCTAGGTTTAGGATAAATTCTTGTTTGTGTGTAGGCACTGAGGACTTTTCCTGGAATTTTCCCGTAAAAGTGAGTAGAGTAACATTGGCACAAGACCCACCCATAATTACTTTCAACCTTTCTTGTGAAACCCTTTAATTAGTGCTCATTTTCAGCTATCTAACTCTCCCAAGGGCTCTTACTATATGTCTGTCATGGAAAGAAGATAACAAGCTTATTATTCATAATAATTTTTGCTGCAAAAATGAAAAAAACTACTGGGAGGACGAGGTTGAAAAAGTTTTGGAAAATGAGACCTTATGGGAATTTAAACTTCAAACAGACAGGCCCCTTATTCATGATATGTCTGATAAAACAGCTATTGAAAACAAGAAAATCTTCTTAGGACTGCAAGTTTGGATGCTTATGGAAAAAGAAATCTGCTGTTACACCAGTTGTGATTGGAGCCCTTGGAGCAAAGGATTTCATCCATATTTGGAAAATGTTTTAATTCATCAGAACTGAACACCCTAATTTTACAAAAATAGCCACTTGTTTGGAATTGCGTACATCCTTAGTTGCTACCTTAATAATTGATAGGTCTTTGGTTAGGACTTGATTTATTAAGTATTCACCAAGCTTAGTCTGAATCTAACAGTAGATTACTCATAATAAGTATGCAATTACTTTTATTCCAGCTTTATTATTTTTTATAAATAACTCAAAATAGTGAATATATCTAGTATTCCTTCCTTCCTTCTTTCTGTTTTTCCCACAACAACAACTGTGAGGTGAGTTGGAGTCAGGGAAAGGGTCACCCAAGATACCCAGCTTTCATGCCTCAGATGGGACTAGAACTCAAATCACTCAGTTTCTAGCCTGATGCCTTAACCATTAGACCAAACTGGCATAGTAACAGTAATATCATCTGCCTATCACTGACTTTGAGGAGAACACAATAGGTGGACAAAAATGTCAAATCCAGTCTAAACATGGGTGACTGTGCGACTAACCATAATAATAAAGTATGGTTGCATGGGTGTCACACTTTGATCATGAAATTGGAGTTTCTTCTGAATTTTAAATATTTACACTTTCCAATTTGTGATATTTTATTAATATTTATTTGGATATTTATGTAGAAGTATAAGATGTTCTCCGAATAGTCTCATCATAATCAGTGGGAGAATCCTGCAGGTAAGCTTATGAGCAGATTAGAAGATCAGTGCTTCAAAGACTGAAATCCTAAATACACTTCCACATAAATATAACTAGGAATAGAGTATTAAACTTACTATACATAAAAAAGTTTTAAAATGCTAAATATTTGCTATATATGCCCCCCCCCATTCCTCCAAAATAATCAGTAGATACAATCAGAAATCTAGCATCAGGTATTTTTTTTAAACAACTACAATGTGTTATGATTTTCTTTCTTTGGCTCTTCCTGAGATGCTAGTTCATATAACAGTGATGGCAGCTTGTTAGGTAATCAGTTTGGAATAATTTGTTCTGTAAGGTATGAGTATAATGAATACAAATTTCAGACATAATATTCTTCCGATTAAAATCGGAATTCTGATTTTTTTGGGAATCCCCCCCCTTTCCCCTCACCCCTTCTCCTCCTTCCCCTCCCCTCGGAGGCCCCGAGTCAGGAGTTGCTGGCGCGGCTCCGGTCCCGCGTTGCCTCAGGAAGGGAAAGGCAAAAAGGAAGAGCCGCGGTGGCGCTTTGCAACGGCAGCAGCGGCTCCTGGTTTTGCCTTTCCCTTCCCGAGGCAACGCGGGACTGGAGCCGCGTGGAGCTGCGCCGGCGGTAGCAACTCCTGACAGCCCCAGCCGGATACCTGAGCGGAGCCCGGGCGGTGCAAGCGGAGGCCGCTGAGCGGCAGGAAAAGGGAGCTGGGCCAGCCACAGACCAGCCTCCGTGCAACACGCCACCGCCTGGCCCTGGCGAGGGAAAGCAGCGGGCGCTCCCCAGGCGCGCGGCGGGGGGGTCTCTTGGCCGGCCCCGATTTTTTTTCAGAGCAGAATATCATGCCTGAAATTTATAGTTTAATTAATTGTAGAATGAGCAAAGGGCTGTGCAGAATAATATTTCTTGGTTCAACATTTTCCATACCTCAAAGACCTTACAAATAAAAATCTAGACTAAGAAAGTTGAATTGACAAGGTTTTTGTTCTATTTTATTATTGCAGATTTCAAATAAAATATGAGAAGTCCTTATCCTAAAATAGAGAAGTACATAGGAAGAAATGGTGTTACTAAAAAAGTAGGGACTAAAAGAATGATCAAAGGCTTTCCAAAACATTTCAAGGAAGTAAAGTGAACAGGCGACGTGTATTGTCACATGTTATGAGGCATAATTTGAGGCAGGAGGTACAACAACAAAACATGGATAATCCAGGGAATTTCAATACAACTGGTAGAAAAGCATTAAAATAAGATTCCATTATGTGTAAATTAAAACTATAGGCTATGTTACATATAGTTCATTCCACCAATTATTGGTAAAATTAAATGAGAACCATAATCTAATAACAGCAACCTCAGGAAAGGGAGAGATACCAATAGATACCAATTTGTACCAAAGATGCTTTTTCAAAAGGCAACTGGACTTTTCCTTAAGGATATTTCGCTTCTCATCTTCAGAAGCGAAACATCTTCAAGGAAAAAGTCATCTTTTGAAAAAGCACCCTTGGGACAATCATGATTGGATGATTGAGTATCTCCATAGACATTAAAAATATTTATAGCTCAGGGTTGAAATGTGGGATCCTTAATGCTCTCAGAGCCTTAGTTGTTTTCTTGCAGATGTTTCATTACCCAAATTAGGTAACATCTTCAGTGTTAGTATGGATTAGGGTTCACTGAGTAAAAAAATATGATTTTGGAAAATGTACCTTAAAGATGGAAGACGTGTAACATAGCGATTAAAATTATTTTCTAACAAAATAATGCTCCTTTAATTGTCCATCACTCTTCCAAACTCCATAGCTTCCTTATTTAATGCTAATAGTTTTACATTTTAGCAAGAACATACCTGCTTCCATGAAATTAATTGCTTTCAATGATAATGGATCTCCCCAAGTACTCCCCAAGTATATATTGTATTGTTTCTTTCCCTGAAAAAATGTGGGTTTTGTAAGAGAATTGGGGCGTGCTTTGTTTTTCATTGTATTAGGCATTTATTTTTGGAATATATTTTAAAGCTGAGGAAAGATCTCTCTGAAATTTATTAACCATTGTTTATGTTTTGATATGATTTAATTGCTCCCTAAGAAGAAAGCTACTGCTCACAAAAAATAAGCATAGAAAATAAAAGCTCTGCCACTTTCAAAGTAATATTACAGGTGGTCTTTGACCTATAACCATTCATTTAGTTACCATTCAGTTACAATAGCATTTGAAAAAAGTGACTGATAACCATTTTTCACTTACACCCATTTCAGAATCCCTTTGGTCATGTGATCAAAATTTAGAGGCTTGGCAACTGGGTCCTATTTAGGATGGTTGCAGTGTCCCAGGATCATGTGATCAACTTGTGCAATCTGAAAAGCAAAGTCAACGGGCAATCCGGATTCACTTAACTGTGTTGCTAACTTAACTGCAGTGATTCACTTAATAACTGGCAAGAAAGGTCATAAAATGGGGCAAAACTTACAACTGTCTCCCTTAGCAACAGAAATTTGGGGGTTAAGTGTGGTCATAAGTAAAGCATTACCTGTACTTGCAGTAACAAACTATGTGATCTATTCTCTACTATTAGCTGATACATTTTTAATGACAATGTGTAATACGGTAGGTTGAAATAAGAAACATTAACTGTATTCTTTAATAGCCACTCTTATCTTGTGGATTTGTCTTAGGAACAACCATGACTCTGGTTGACTTGAACTCTGAATAATAAGTCTAAATATTAAGTTTCTTGGACATTAAAATTTTTGCAATTCAATTTGATGAGAAGGAAATATTAAAATCATGTAGATAGCTGAGGATAGGAAAGAATAGAAGGAAGTGGAACTGAAACAGAAAAGAGTCAAAAGACATTGATTTGAGAGGTTTCACAATTAAATGCAGGTGGGTGATTCTGGTCAAGGTGGTGAGAAATATTAAGAATGAATCATGAAGAGTACATAAAAGACAAAGTCAGCAATTGTTAAGCATAAAGGAAACACGAAGAATCAAAATCAAATTAGGATTAAGGTAAATAAATGACCTTCAAGTCAGACTGCATGATTGGAAGAATTAAGTGGGCAATCAAGGAACACAGAAGCAATCCATGAAAGCAACTGTTGAATTTAATACTTCGTATAAAATAAATCAGACAAGCAATAGGCTGCAGATTACAAGTGTTCTATTATGAACCATCTACAGTATAATTATGCCTTCCCAGAGTCTACCAGAGTAAGCTACTATTACAAATTTAAATAATACAGCCTTGTCTCTCTTGCTTGGTTACTCCTTATCTCCGCTATATATATTATACCCTTGTCCCTTAGTTAGATTTATTTTTTTTGAATCCTGAAAAAGGGCAACATCCTTTATTTTACCAATTAGTTGTTGTTTAAATAGTCCTGAGGTGACGTCACTTACTCTCCTATCAAGTCCAAACCCTCCAAAATAGCAAATGCCCCCATAGTTTAGAACAGTATATTTTTTCTGTGGATCAAGATCTTCAGAAAGAACAAGTTCCTCATCAAGATACACTTCAATGAGAGTCCAGTTTTGCACAATGTCAACAAAATGCCATTTTTTGCAGCACATCTTTCTTTGGTGAATAAGAGGGATGGCAATTCTTTCTCCTAAGTTAACTACAACTTTTAGCATTCCATTTTCAAATCCTACTCCAAGGAAGTCATTATCTTCATCTTCAGCCTTTCCTAACCAAACAAGCAAACCATCCATTTGACTGGTGGTAAAATTGAAAGAGATCCTAGTAAATCTGAGATCTCTCTCTTCATAATTGGTATCGATGTACTTGATGTATGAATTGCCTGTGAACTTTGCAATCAAAAATGAGAGTTGTTTTTCACACCACAGGCCTGTCCAGCCAAGTTTACAGGCACATGTATATGAAAATAAAACAGGGTTGGGTATACAAACGCTGCCATGGAGACACTTACTATGTGAACAATAAATAGACTGCTCACATGTCTTCCCCATCCATTGCTTGGGGCACAAGCAAGAGAAATCAGACTCTATAACTTTACATTTCCCATTGTTTTTACATACTCTATAGCCACAGGGTGTTCCATCGCAATCTCCTATATTGGAACCACTTTTTGCTCCTTTCTCAGTGAGTTTTAATTCTTTGCCATTGACAAAGACCTCCCTAATGCAGCCAGTGAAGCCAGTGGGCACATTCTTAATTGCCCTGGGATTAACCAAGTTTAAGGAAGGTAGTCCTCCTACATAGAAATCAGTTTGTGTATCTAAGGAAGTCATGCCATTGGTAGCTTTCTGAGTTACATTGATTCCATCAAGATCCAAGTAGCCTTCGTTGCCAACTCTTCCTGCTTTAATTAAAAGCCAGGTCTTATTTGTGCTATGGACAGGTTGGAATGTCTGTAAAACAACTGTTCTGTCCCCAAGGCTGTAACGTAGTTGTATATATCCATTTGCCAAAGTGATACTTAGGAAGTCACCTAAAGAGAAGAAGATGCAACACATTAGTATCTCTGAGAAATAAAAGATTAACTAAACATTAAATTGGCTTTCAGCAGTCTGATATCTTCCATATGTGTCAACATTACAACATCCAGAATGCCAAGCCAGCATTAGATATCACTCTGCCATTACTTAGTAATCTGAAGATACTCAGATGAATCTCATGGTGCTTGCTTGTTAAGGTTTACATAACTAGTAAAACAAGGGTTGCATTGCTAAGCTTTATATAATAGCAACTGAAGAAAAGTTTGGGCTTGTTTGTTATACATAATGTGTTTTGCAAACCAAGCAATGACAAACCCTCTGTTTTGGCTGCCACTAACCAATATTCTCCTGGGCCTTTCTTCATTCTACATATGTTTGCTTTGGCAGGCTTCTTGGAAGGCAAACATGACAAATGCAAACTCTTTTTCTTTTAAAGGCTCAAAGACTCAGTGGTTTGAAATGTATGTTTGTGGCACCGAGTAAATTTCCTATCAAGGCTTCCTCTTCTGTTACATATACTCTTTTCTTAAATACAGCAAAGCAAGCCTCATTGAATTTAAATAGAAATCTTTTTCAAGAAACCATATTTAAAATTTCATTTTTGTGAATATTGAGCACTATTATGGTATTTTTTTATTTATTTTTCTAAATAAAAGATTAGGAGCCCATTTTTTTCTTTTAAATGATGTCCTGGTTTGAATTTGGGTTTCATGAGTGCTGGGGAATTTGAGAGGGAAAGAGAGAAAGTTTCCCTAAGATACATGGTGTATGCTTCTTGCATTTGGGCTCGATTTGGCTCAGGTAGGGTGAGAAGTGGTAGATGTAAAAAAAACCACATTTTCCCACCAGTGAAGCTGGATGGAATGTTTATTGAGTTGCAATTTGTCACTAAAATAACACTTTCCATTTTCTTTGGATTTGAAATTTCACATCCTGTTTTAGTCTTAAAGTAATACTTTAGAGAATCAGTAACCCACCTTTATTAAAATGTATCCAAGCAGAAAAATATAGCTGTTGTAAGTTGATGTATTTTGCTGCTACAAACAGGTTTTCCTTTGGAATAGTTAACCTTGGTCGCAGTCTTTTAACAGATAATATGTGCAAAGGTATCATTTAATAGATCGTCCAGCATTTGCCTTGTACTACAGAGGTGGTATTCAGCAGGTTCTGACCAGTTCTGGAGAACCGGTAGCGGAAATTTTGAGTAGTTCAGAGAACTGGCAAATACCACCTCTGACTGGAGATTTTACAGTATCCTTCCCGTGCCACGCCCACCAAGCCTTGCCCACAGAACCGGTAGTAAAAAAATTTGAATCCCACCACTGTTGTACTACCTTCACATCTCAAAGGAAATCTAATTGTTTTTCTTAAAGCTCAAAGAACAGAGATGCCAGCACTTGTGACTTATTTGGAGAGGCATAGTTTAACCCTAGATAATGACATAGTAGGGGCTTTGACCTGTTCCTATTTGAAGGGGCAAAGAAAGAAAGCACTTTTATTTTGTTCCATTTAAAAACTATGTTTATAATGTACAAAGAAGCAAAAAAATTTGAAAGGAGTAAGTAGAGTAAAATATGATAGCAAAATACCCTTCACTTTATTTGCATAGTCTTTCTGAAAGGTAGAAGAATAAGACAATCTACCTTGAACTTGGGTTCAAAATTTTGAAAAATCACAAAGGCAACTTTTAGTTCTTTTATAGGCTTCTATCTTCCACTTCCATCATGGGCACAAATCTTCCTTTTGATTGTTTTTCTGTTTACGTTAACATAGCAGTTTAAAGCAGGGGTCTCCAAACTTGACAACTTTAAGACTTGTGGACTTAAAGGAACTCCCAGAATTCCTCAGCCAGCAAAGTTTCCAAGTTTGGAGACCCCTAGTTTAGAGCCTCGAAAGAAGTTTATGAGAAAGGGTATCTGACTGATCAAAAGCCCCTGATCCCGATCTTTTTACTCAGACAAAACTTCATGCTTTTAAAATCTTCTTTTCCCTTGGGCAATGTCCTAGATTTTCCTCACAGAGTTCAGAGTTCAAAGAGAATAAATACATTCCATGATCTTACCTTTAAACTTCCCCTATTTTAACCTGATGAGAAACCTCAAATATTTTATTTCAGAAACATAAGAGCACACATTTTAAAAAATAGCAAGGAAATGGTACAAAAATGGCAACAGGGCTGACATGAGTAGTATGACAAAAATGGCAGTGGAACTGAACATGAGAAAATGTTTCAGTGCTGTGAACAAATGATTGGCTGGTACATTTTGTCCATCCAAGCATGAGGCATGAGTGATAGGGCTGTAAGCCAAAGGGGGCAGTGGATTTGCTTGTTGCTCCACTGGCTGCCTGAAGTGTCCTGAAAAGCTGGAATAGGCCTGGACACCGGAAGTTCCCCTTCCCTGCTGTAGCCCTTTGAAACAGTATTAGGAAGTATCATTTAAAGCAAAAGTTTCTAAAATGAGCAGATTATGGAAGCAGATGAAAGATTCAGAAAATCTGGCAGGCTCACATTCTTTGGATGGAGTGATTGATGCTAATTGTCCAGAAATAGGATTCTTTTTGAAACGGAAAATCTTCATGCTTCTCAGAGCTACTGACTATGTTAGGAGAGGCCTGTCTGGAAGCACCCTTGGTTTGCTGCTACCAGATCCTCCTAATACTGTCTTAACTCAGCTGATTCACAGCTGACTTGAGTGCATTTTGTTTTTAGTGTAAAGTGGTCAAGTTAATCATGCACACTATCATTGTGGTTGGTCACACAATCAACCAGATCTTTAGACTGGATTTGGCATTTTTGTTCAGCTATCAAGTACTTCCCAAGGATGGTCAGGTGTTGTTGTTTGATGGTGCTAAGATACCACCATAGGATGTTTATTATCAATTCATTCATGTCAAGGAATTGTGCAGCAGCTTTGCAGATGAAGTCGGAGACACTGATACAAACTTGTTGTCTTTTATATAAATATAAACATTTAATATTCAAATTTATAGCAGTCTTTGTCATCAACTGGAAAAGAAATGACATAAGATAGGAACACAGGACATCATGAGGTAAATCTAAAACAGAGAACACATCGAAGAAAAAAGGAGGGGGGAAAGGGAAACACCCCCTTTATAATCACAGCAACCAATCATAGCATAGATTACATCATGCATGAATCAGCACTCTGTAATCAACTACAACTGTGTGTTCTGGCCTATTGTACACTTTGCTGCTCCAGCTACTAAATTCAATATCCTAACAATTCACCTCTTGCAAAATCATAACACACTAATCAGATATTTCATTTGACCTTTTTATTCCCCTTACCACATAATAGTAGAATGAAAGCCTGACCTGATCGGGAGCTCAGATGCTGAGCAGTGTAAAAGAGGATGCCGTTTCCTGAAAAGGTCTGGAATTGCATCTGGATATGAACCTTGTGTCGAATGTTGAAGGGCTCAAATGACATCCAGGAAGATTTGCGGTTGCTGAATGACGCATCGCTTATGGTTAAGGCTATGAAACATCACAGGAAAAAGATTTCATCTCCACTAATAACAAAATGTTTTAAGATTTCTTTTGTCCATACCTAAATACATATGGTATACATTATTTCCGACCTAAATTCCTCTCCCTAATTTGCATTTCGTTTACTGCATTTTATACTAAAAACAAGGAATGGTGAACAGGGGTGCCTAGTTGTATGCAATGTGTTATGGACCCAAACAGATTTGCAGTCAAATCTCAGATTATGTGGCTTTTTTACATTTAAGGAAAGCTTCTATTCAGAGAAGAGTTCTAGAAAAGGGGAAACAAAGGCACAGAACATACTTTCATGGCAAATTGGGAAATGCAGCTAAGCTGAACCATTCTTTGAATTTTCTGAACCATACTGATTATGCTTGGACTGATGACATTGCATTAAACTGCACCATACTGCATTGGTTTATTCACTGGGGTTAAATGAATCACAATAATCCAATCTGCCAATTCTGCTTGAGAGCAGTTTCCAAAGCACTGAGTACTAACTTAAAAAAATATCATCTTTATGAAATACATATATTTCCTTCCAGTTTCACTAATTAAACCAAGCAGGATGTTTGAAAACTGAGTAGAAGAACACCAAGAGGCTTTATCAAGAGATCTGCAAAACTGCTGATGCTTGACTGGACCAGAAAGCATACCTGAGCAGAATTGAGCCCAGAATTATGATCATGAGTCATGCCAATCATTAAACATGTCACCATGTGACTGAACCAAATTTTACAACCTATTTTGCAGTGGTCATTAACTGAATTCCACAGTCACATCAAGCAAATATGATGGCCATTAAACAAACCCTTTGTACCCAATGAACATTTGAACACTGGTTTCCAGCAAAAAAAACCAAAAAACAACCCTTCATACATCATGGTTGTGTGACTATAGGACACTGCAAACTGCTGTAAATGCAGGCCACTTGCCAAACTCCCAAAATGCAATCACGTGACCACAGGTTTTGTGTGTGTGTGTGTGTGTGGCTGTTGGAACTTGAAACTGAGTTGCAGAGATTTGTTATAATTTCAAATGGTCATGAAGCAACTGATTATAACTCAAGGACTGCCTGTATGTCGTTTCATGTATTGTAGTAGGTCTGGAAAGTAACTGTCCTTCTTTATCCCTTTATAGCAGGGCTCTTCAAACTTGACAGCTTTAAAACTTGTGGACTTCAACTCCCAGAATTCCTCCTCTGGTCATGTTAAGCTCAGAAATTCTGGGAGTTGAAGTCCACAAGTCTTAAACTTGCCAAGTTTGAAGACCCTTGCTTTATAGAATAGCAACTGTGTTCAAAAGCAAAACTCTGATATCAACCTGTTCCTCAGTGTTAGGACACACAAATCCCATTTGACCAATTAGAATCATGGGACTTTGTTGACTTTACAAGCCCTGTTGCTTCAGTGTGTTCTTCTTTCCCTCTTGCACTCATTATTTTTCGCTAGGTGCCTTACAATACACCCCAGGTCACCAAACACATATTTGTCTTTCAGGTTTCTGTTGCCATGGATGCTCCTCTCTCTAGATAATAATTTGCACTGCAGCTTTGTACAACCTGCACCCTCCCATTTCATTACAGGAGAGTCTTTTTAACCTTTGACCTCAGGAACATCCATGAATCTTGAAATAAACAGCAACAGCAATGTCGCACATGGCAGATACTTATTGCTCCCCAGAGTTTTAAAACAAAAAAAAATATGTGTGTAAAAAAGAAGATACTGAATCTCTCCTGTTTCTATTTTAGGTGTTATAACTGAGGATGTGTGTCTTTTCCCTTCATTAAAAAAAAAAAAAGCTAGGGAGCCTACTAATGGATTTCTTATGTTCTATGTAATCTAGTTCCAACAAGAATTAGATATGATATGTATAATGTAAAACAACTTCTTGAAATAGTATGTAACCAAATTAGGCTGCATGGTTTGTCAGCCAGGAACTTGGATGTGTGGATCAGTATAATTCCTTTATAAATGAAATGTCATTTTTTTAAATTGCTCTACAACAATTTCATTCTCTGATTTTAATTTTTTTCCTTATTAATAGCCTCATTACTATGACACCATGGTCTGTGAATTGCAGCAATGAAGCTAATTTTGGAACTCTTAGATGTTTATCCATTTTCCTAAGCTGCTTTATATGCAATTGCTTAGATTAGGAGTAAAGTAAAAAAGCTGCTGTTGATATTCCCACATAATGTGAAGAATACTACGTATGGAAATTTATAGAAGAAATTTCAGCTCTGTAGGCTTATATTGGATGCTTGTTGTCTCATAAATCGTTAAACTCATCTCAGCAATCGAGAAAACCTTTGATAGGAATAGCATATAAGCCTTTATTACTCAGAGAATATATTAAGAAATCTTGCTTTATTCCTTACACCCACTGGAGTTGCTTAATGTATTGGAAAAATGGATCTGGAAGGCCCAGCTGGTTCTTTAAACAAAGCAGAGATCTAGTGGATCACAGTTCAGGGTTTATTATTTACTTATTTATTTATTAAATTAATATATGATCCACCTCACAGCCACACAATTCTGGACAGCACACAATCTGATAAAACACTATTATAAAAGTTTAAAGCAGTAAGACAATAAATATAACATTACAATAATAGAGAAATGCAATAGCTAAGATAGGTGTGATGACCTGGATTGTAACACAAACATAACAAAATCCAAAACGTAAATAAATGTCCTTTAATGCCTCCAACTTGGCCCCACTGTTCAATAATTCTCAGTTGGAGATAAAACTTACTCAAAAATAGTCTTCAAAAGAAAGCAATACAGTCAGAACTTAATGAGCAGATAGAGATGAAATAAAAAAACCAAACAAATTACAATGAAGAAATTTACACAACAGACCAGGATAAGTAATTACCAAATTCAAAGAGATAACAAGGCAGTCTGTTGGAAGGACACCAACCAAGATAACTTCAGCCCAAAATAAAACATGCTTTGCTTCTGGCAACGCTGTGTTTTAACCGTCTCTCTTATATACTATTCTCCCTGGCTGCAACCAATGAGGAGGATCATGGCCGCTTCCTCTCTCGTAAGCCAAGTTGTTTCCTTCTCCGTTCTTCCCTGTGTGTCCTAGGATACAAAGGAGATGGGCCTGGTTCTTCCTCTGACTGCCCAGCCAGCCTGTGCCCTTCCCCAGCCTCCTCCACAACCTCCAGAGCCACACCTCCACTGTCTATCGGCTGTTTCTCCTCTCCTTCAGAGTCTGACTCTACCAAGGGCATGACAATAGGTATGTGTGTGGGTGTACAATGAAGTGGAGGTGGGATTTTTTTTATTAACCCAGTAACCACTTCCAGGATTACAAGGTCACAGGCCAACATCCAGAACCAAGTTTTAAGGTTCCTCCTTAAGGCCAAAAGAGTGGGTGAGGATATTCCAGAGGGCGGGAGCTAAAGAAGAAAATGTTCTTCTCCTGGCATAATTCCTTGATTGATGGGGTCCACAGTGTGCCCTTTCTGCTGGCACAAAGCCAATCACATTCTCGGGTAACCTGGATCTATGTCATAAAGGGATTTATAGGTAATAAGCAACATCTTGAACTGGACCTGGACTTGCTTTGTTCATAGCAGTTTGTAATCTGCTGGATAAGAAGATTAAGGATGCCTTTGAACTTTGGTGTTGAAGAACCCCATGGCCACCGAAAAACCCAAACCTATGGCTCATCGAGCAAATCAACTCAGAATTCTCACTTGAGGCACAAATGACCAGGCTCACATTATCCTAATTTAGGCACATTATGTGAAGACATCACTCTCTACAGAAGGCCTTAATGCTGGAGCAAGTGGAAGGAAAAAGATGACGATGACCAGCAGCAAGGTGGATAGACTCAGGTATAATTGCTGTGATTGCATCATTGGAAGACCTGAAAGGACAGGTTAGGGCTAAAGTGTCATGGAGGAGGAAAATGTGTAACTGCTAGGAGTTGAAAAAGACTTGATGGCACATAGTCAATCAATAGGTCAGTTTGTTAGAATACTAGCATAAAACCAAGAGGGTAAATATGAAAATGGATTTTCTGTCCTGCAGCAAAGGGATGAGCTTATACTTGACTTCCCAAGTGATGTGGTTGCCTTGATAATTAGCCTGCAATCTTGTTATCTAAGAAATATTTGTTATCCACAAGATCAATCTGTAATATTACTTCTACTACCATTTTGTTCTCCCTTCTGAAAAGGAAGGGTTTTCCCCACTCATTATTTATTTTTATAAGCATGAGGCAGAATCTTCTAGGTCGTCTAGTCCAAACCCCTGCTCTGGCAGGAGATCCTATACCATTTCAGACAAGTCTAGTCTCTTCTTTATAAACCTCCAGTGATGAAGCACCCACAACTTCTGAAGACAAGCTGTTCCACTGCTTAATTGTTCTCAACGTTAGGAACTTTCTCCTTAATTTCAAGTTCCAGAAACAGAACGATTCTTCTTTGTTTTGCTTCAAGAGACTAACAGGAGTATTTCTAGCAGACCTGCCTCTCCATGGCTTCTTGTCATAGTTTGAGGTGTGCTATTTTTAAGGTCACTTCTGTGTCAAGTAACAGTAGGCCTGCCTGCCTATGAACCCTCCTTCCTTAGCAAACTTCAGCCCTTGTTAAAATGAGAGCTTATCATTGCCTCATTCTGATACTCCTTAATATCCTGTGTGTTTAGAGCCCAGTGAAAGTTTTGCCAACAAAAACAACAGCATACGGCTCAGTACACCCTGGCCTACAGGTGACAAACATGAGTATGGTTGGGACAGGACAACTCGAATTCCCAACCAGGAGAGCGACACAGCAGATAGCAAAGAAATCCCACTGAAGGGTTTCTCATGAGCCAGGAATGCACAAGCTGTGCGCCCTCCCAACCTTTGGTACAAATGAAGTATTATTTTTAATGTAATAAAATGTAATACTATTATGCCATATAATAAATATAATGTCATTACTGTCATTACAGTATTAACTCAGCGTTACAATAATATAGGCAGTGATAAATTTTAATCCTGCTCCCTCCAATCTCACCCACTTTTTGGAATGTACTGTTCCTCTACCATGCCAGTCATGGCAGGTAACAGAATGCTGATGAGATAGGCAGATCTCTTCATTTATTAACATTTCTCCAGTTATCTCTAGTGCCTGAGCAGTCATGTCCTGTCTTCACTATTTATAAGCACAGAGCCAGTAAAAGTAAAATCCAATCAATGCCATTGGTAAAACAAACTGCTGTCCTATGCTGCCATCTATAGATTATCCTTCATTATAGTAATCTAATATGTCTTCTATGTTGAATCGTTAGTCTTTCTTTTCATCCATTTATTTTTTAGATTCCTATGCACTTCTTATACTTCTTTTTCCCAGATTAATGATGTCAACATTTATTCCATTTGAACTAGCTGACTGTGCTTTATTTAATGCTTTGAAGGGCAGTTAATTTAACTCTATGGTAAATAAACTCGGCGTTGCACCTTCTCGATTGTTTCTCAGATGCCAGCCTCATACTTCTTCCTTCATTTTACATGACAATTATAGCTGTCTGAGTCTTAATTTGAGTTGCAGAAAGCTGATCTTTCCAGTTTCTCTCCATCTCTTTTCATTTATCAGACCTGATAATGGACAAGAGCGTCTAGACTGTTTTCTTTTCTCAGATGCCTTAAGTGCAATTGTATCAAGCATAATCAAGCCTGGGAAATACATCAGTCCTGGCGTGTATGTGAGCTCTTTGAATACAATCAGGTAACCAGTTAAGGTCCATGATGTGTGGGAAGCCACCCGTTCTGCATACAGACTTCCTAATGAGGCTTTTGTTGTTGTTGTTGTTACATCACTACGACAGAGAATAGTGACAGCAGTTAAAGCAGCAAGTGTCTACAGAAAGTTAATACAAGTAGTCCTGGGTCCATTAGCATTCATTCAGCTTTGAAATTATGATGGCACTGAAGAAAAAGGGAGTGGTCTTTGCAATTCACAGTGCTCCTGTGATTAAAATTTGGGTGTTTTTACAACTGCCACAGCATCCCTCGGGCGCAATCTCCTACCCTGTGCAAAGTGCTTTTGTGGTTTTTCAAATAACCTTCCTTGGTTGTGACAGGAATTGACTGACCAGCCTGTTGCCTGAGCCTTATGTTATGAGCCGTGGGGGGAATAGAGGTAGTCCTTGACTTACGACCCCAATTGAGCCCTACATTTCCATTGCTGAGCAAGACGGTTGTTAAGTGAGTTTGGTCCCATTTTGTGACCTTTCCTGCCATAGTTGTTAAGTGAATCACTGCAGCTGTTAAGTGAATAGCATGATTGTTAAGTAAATCGGCCTTCCCCGTCGACTTTGCTTGTTGCAAGGGGGATCACATGAGCTCGGGACAGTGCAACCATCATAAATTTACATGCCAGTTGCCAAGCATCCAAATTTTCATCATGTGACCACGGGGATGTTGCAATGGTAATGTGCATAATGGTCATCAGTCACTTGTTCCTATGCTACTGTAACTTTGAATGGTCACTAAACAAATAGTTGTAAGCTGAAGACTACCTGTAACTGGCCCAAAGTCACCCAGTCAGCTTTCGTGCCTAAGGCCAGAGTAGATGTCTAGCCTGGTACCTTAATCACTAGACCTAACTGGCCCTTCCTGATAAATAGAGGAATCATATCTGTAAATAACAAAGTAATTGGCTTTTATGCATATGCGTGCTGATAAAGTTCAGAGCACTAATCACATTTCCACTGGTGAGTAAAGCAGTCAGGCTTAGTTCATGCCAAATGCTCCTTGTGTTCATTTTTCCAAGAACGGGGAATTGCCATATATTACTATGTATAGTAATGCACTTTATTGGTATGGCTTTTGCATCCAATTCTTACATAAATATGGCTGGATCATCTGATTCACCTTTGATTAAAGCTATGCTGTGGCCTCTGGAAAGGATAAGAAATAATTGTTTTCATGATTGATACCTATTATATTCTACGAATGACTGCAAGCAGTTAAATCCTACCATACACTAAGTCACTTGTACCAACTATATAAACTCTAAACAACGTGCCAGGGAGTATCTTTCTAAACTCTATTGATGTTCTTTCTGTTTGTTGTTTCTTTTCTACTAACCTACATGCATCATAAATTCTCAGGTTTTTTTTAATGTTTCCTTTTTTCCTCAGTAGTTATTATTTTTCATAACTCCTTGGTTTATTTCCTGCTCTGCTGAGACACATTTTACTCCTTCGCTTCCTGATTCTGTACCTAGAAATAAAATATTTAGTCTGATTGTTTTTAAGATGCTTTCTTTCTTCTCAGCACAGGAAAACTCTACTCTGAAAAAAAAAGTGACAGTTCATTATGCTGATCCGTGTAGGGGAAGTTGAAATCCAAGATTTTGAGACAGCAGCAATGGGCCTTTTTCATTACAAATCCTCAATTTTGTTGCAATTTATGCCATCCTCACTTTTATTCACTGGGGGAAGAAGAAGAACTTTAGGGCATTATATTTTCCTCTCTGCAGTTGCAGTTCTCATATGAATCAGAAAGGCATCAGAAAGAAATCAAAGCACATCTCCTAAGGAGTAGCATGCCACTCATTAAGGAGGTTAAGTGCTGAATCAGTAATTGTCTAATAATGTATAAAACAGGGCTGATTCTTATTTCATGTCCAGAGAGTAAAACAACTTTGAAAGCCAAAGCACGCACAAAAGCACATCTAAATGGCAATTGGTAGATGTGAGATGTTGTGTCAGTAAGCATAATTAAGAGTGATTGAATTGTATTTTAATAAGAGTGGGTTAATGGTTATGAGCACTATGAAATTCTTAGACAAAAATTTCACAGCTAGATGGGAATGGTCTTGGAGAGCATCCAGAAGCTGCAGTTGGTGATGGGGATGGTTTTGGAGAGCATCCAGAAACTGCAGCACAGGCAGTTAAGTGTACTTCTTGACCAGTGCATATTATGCCACTGCTTCCTGGCTACCAGTATGCTTCTGGGTTTAGTTCTAGGCGCTGGTTATGGCGAATAAAGGCCTGTGTGGCATGGAACCAGCAGGCAGCCTCTCCAAGGTTACATCTACTCTTCCCATCAGGAGAGGCATTTTGTAGGTCTTGTCTACGTAACCTGTCATCTGGATGTGACCCAGGAAGAAGAGCTTTTCTGTCCAGCACTCACCCTTTGGAACAGAGCTTAAATTAGCTGGAAGGATTTAGTATTGACCAAAAAAAGGTATTGAAAACAAGGCTCTGTCATTGTGCTTGGTGGTCAGTGATAGTGGAGAGCTTCTTCAATGGTTGTGTCGAACGTGAAGCACTGACTGGATTCCGCTGCTGATTATGTTTTTTATGTTGTCTGGCATAAGCAACCAGAGCCACTTCTGACTAGCCTTAGTAACTTTATTGTTTATCACCTACATTACAAGACTCTCACCAGATTTTTCCATTGGGAAAAATCAGATAAAGTCAATGATTCCATGCTAGGCTCTCACTTGACCCCCTCCCTCCAGCCTAGCTGGCAATTGTCCGATGGATGCCATTTTATTGATGATTTGCATGTTTGCTTCTATTAAGTTGGGTTTTGCTTGGGATATTGTTTCTTATTGTTGTGAGCCATCCAGAGTCACAACATTAAGAAGCTCTATAATTTGAGTAAATAAAAATAAACCAAAAATAAATAGGTTATGAACTTATCTATTTTAAAAATTAGTATAGATTTGCATATTTACTTAAATTCTGCATGTTTAAAGTTGAGATAATTCCAGCCAATGAAATCAATGTGATTAAGTCAAAGTCATTGCTGTATATAGGGATTTTCCCATTGTGGCTTATCTCCCTATAGGGTTCCCTCAAGAGATGCTCCCAAACCAGGAGGGAAACTCATAAGTGGAGAGTTGAGATGATTCAGAAACACACCATCCTGCTCTCTTTTTGTATGTAAATAAAACCCTTTCTTGCATTAGAGATCTACTTTAAGAGATGGCTGTAGTGCTTCATGATCAGTTTGGATTTAATAGCCTGCAGGTATTGATGGTGATGATGTTATGCATTCAGTCATGTCTGACTCTTGGCGATTCTATGGGCCAGGTCTCTCCACACCTTCCAATCTTGCACTATTTTTTGAGTTTTTCTCTGCTCTGGCTAGTGTCAGCTTTGACAGGGTCCAGCCAATGGTTCTTTCGCTGCCTCATTTTCCTTTACTGCTAACTCTTTTGAACATAATTGCTTTCTCCATTGAATTCCCCACACAACATGATCAGAATAGGTGAGCTGCCTTGGTGGCGGAGTGGTTAGAGTACAGTACTACAGGCTACTTCTGCTGCCTTCTGGTTGCCTGCAATTTGGCAGTTTAAATCCCACCAGGCTTAAGGTTGACTCAGCCTTCCATCTTTCCAAGGTGAGTAAAATGAGGACCCAGATTGTTGGGGGCTATATGCTGACTCTATAAAACACTTAGAGAGGGCTATAAAGCACTGTGAAGCAGTATATGAGTCTAAGTGCTATTGCTATTACTATTTTGATTGCAGTAAAACAGAACTTTTTTTTTAATATCAAAAAGTCTTTGGTACCTTCAATTTAAAAAACTCTGGTTTCAACCTACATTTCTCACCCAACCACAGAATAAAAAGAAACCGTGATACCCTTTTGATGAAGGTTTGTACCCTACCTTGTTCACAATGTGTGCCGGTGGTTCCCAAAGCACAGTGGCAGCTGTATCCATCAGGCACAGGGACGCAGGTGGAACCTCGCTTGCACCGATGGTGGGGCTTGTGCTCAGGATCACACACTGAAATTTTTTCTGTGCAGAAAGCCCCTGTCCAATCAGAAGAGCAATGACAGCTGGGAGTTGCAAAAGAAGAAACCAGAGGAAATTTCAGCAAACGATTTGGTTACATTCTGTGTCTGCATTTTGGAGTAGAGAAACCGGGAGGTCTCACTTTGAACATTTTGAGGCAAGATATATAGAACAGTTATACTTTAAAGTTTGATGTTGGCTTAATGCACATTTCTAAATAAATAAAATCATGGCAGCTCCCCAAACCCATCCTTAATCAGCTCATATTTTTGATAGAGCCTTACTCATTCTGAGTTATTGCCAGTGCATTGCAGTCTCGCTGTCCTCAAAACCATTTACCAAAAGAAAGGCATATGAAGCCTTCAGTCACCAAAATATTGTCCTTTTGTGTCCCATTTCCCCCCTAATTTTAGAAATGGCATAATAGGGCATCCCTTAATGTTCATACCTTGCAAGATTGATGTCAGCCTCCCATGTGGCACAAACAGGAAACAGGGCCAGATGAGATAATTCCACTTAAGTGTAAGGCTACATTAATAGAGTCTTGCATGTCTGAAAGTACAAATCTCCTGCTGTCTCTTTTACAGCTTGAAAAAGAAGTGGAGAAATCCCTTCTAAGCTTCTTTTTCTGCCAATTGTGCAGCTGTGGACTATGGCCACTCTTATCTGACTGTTCCCTAGGGAGCACTTGTCTATAGAGATTCTCAGTCATCCAGGTCATGGTTGTCCCAAATGTGCTTTTTCAAGTGGACATTCTGGTTTTTCTTTGAAGACATTTTGCTTCTCATCCAGGAAGCTTCTTCAGCTCTGACTGGATGGTGGAGAATGAAAGGATGTATACTCCTTGCAGAAAGCTGGTCAACTGCATTCTTTTAGAGAGTTGTTGAGGCTACCTGAAGGTTTATCTGTGTCGTCAGGGTCGAGAGCAGAGGGAGAGGGATGCAACACCATCTATCTCCAGTCTACAGCACAGTCCTTTTGAAGCAGAATGGAAAGTTACCAGAAGAGTATTCTTATAATTAGCAGAAGTTTCTTAGCTTATATCGCAAATATTATAGAAGTTGCTTAATATGATATTGTGAAAACCAGAAAATTGCTGAATCTAAGTCTAAGAATAATGACCTATGAATTAGATATGTTTCTGTAAACAGCTAAATGGCAAGGGTGGCAAGGGTGGGTATGGAAAATAACAGATGGTGTAAGATAAGTATTTATATGCTGAATTGTGCAAAATGGCTAATTAGACTTACTTCCCCCTTTTGTAGTACGTTGAGACTGGGAGCTGCATAAAAGTAACCCCCCAGGAATAGCCGGGGGTTCAGAATTTGCCATGCTAATGCTCTGAACCTTTTGCACAAATAAACCTGTATTCTCCTACCCTTCGTGGTCTTGTGTCCTGATTTGGAAACAGGATCTGCTGCAACACTTTCAACAGTTCCAAGAAGGCTCCACACCCATTTGCACTACTTAGGTGACCCTGACGACACAGGTAAACCTCCAGGTGGCCTCAACAATGCTCTAAAAGAATGCAATTGACCAGATGTCTGCAAGGAGTATAAATCCTTCCATTCCCCCCATCGTGTCAGAGCTGAAGAAGTTTCTCGGATGAGAAGTGAAATGTATTCAAAGAAAAACCAAAAAGTCTAGTTGCCTCTTGAAAAAGCTCCTTTGGGACTAGGCAGCACTTTTTCTCTTACTTCCAAAAATCATTCTCAAATGCCATTACAGATCTTGAATTGTCATTTTTAATCTGATGGAAGAAGAAATACATGGGAAATAATTGAACAAAACTCTCAGCATGCCAAAGAAAAATAGGAAAAACAGACGTGACCCTCAACCTGCAAATAATTTCTAGCCTTGGAGTAGATATTACTGAATGAGGCAGACTTCACTGCTCCATTTGCTACCACAGTATGATGTTCACTTCAGATGGTTCTTGAAATGGACATTTATGCTAATAAAAATAAGGGATAAAGTATGTGTGTAAGAACTATTACATGGAAAAGAGAGAACTGCACGTGCATCTTGCAAGATGATTCTAAAGAAGATTATATACCTGCTCTTAAGCAAATATATGAGCTCCAACAGGACCATATGACAATCTGCATAGTCTCAATGCAGAGTGTTAGGGATATACACCCTAGCAGAATGTGCAACGGCAGTCTAGCAGGCAGGCAGATATGTGAGACAAAACGTTGTAGTAGCTTACAACTCAGTAAGACAGATACACTGTGCAAGTTAAATAGTTTTTATTCCAGCAAGAGTTATAGCATAGTCAAACAGTCCATATGTCATACACTAAATTCAGTCAGTCCGGGGGTTATTCAGTTTGCAAAGTCCAGTGTAGAAAAAGAGTTCATTAAACTTACAATATCAGTCCAGTGATATATCTCTTCTGCAGTCAGAGATATGAAGAAAAATCAAACCCCTTTTTTTCTCTCAGCAAACACGCAGTTATCACCATCAATCCATCATTGTCAGCAATCCAGTAAAAGCCAGCAAACAGTGAGCACTCTTGCTCCCTCTTATGGTGATTTTACAACCGCACCCAAAATACTTGGTTTACAGTTTAAAGTGATACATACACTTAAACTCACTAACATAGTTTATATATATTATTTTACCCAAACTAAGTTAGGTAACCAATGTTATTCCTAACACAGATGATTCATTAAAAGCATCACACTTTACTTACTATAGCGCAGAGCCGCTTTCTATGCATGTCCCCCCATTTCTGCATGTTATCAGTTGGCACGGAGACACTTCACATTGTCCTACATTACGACCAGTGTTAGGATGGCCTTCTGGAATTCCGGGTGCTTTAAACTCCTGATCCTTTCCAGCATGGACTCGGAGGTCAAAAATGCAACCTGAAAGAATGAAAGTTTTTTTTTTTTGCTTTAAAACAATAAAAAATATTTATGAACATTTACCACTGTGATTAGGTCAAGTTCAACAGTACATTTTCTCATGGTGATCTAGAGTTTACTTATTTTACAAAAAATTATCTGGTCGCTAGTAGAAGCTTAAAGTTCCTACAACACATTTACTTAAAAGTTCATTGCTGCCAAAATGGCAATCTTCATCCTGTCTGCCCTCCGTTTAATCCCTAGGTAATTGTAAGTATGCATTTTAATGGGGGGAAAGTAATGCGATATAAACAAACACATCCTTTAGAATGAAGGCACATAAAGCTTCTATCCTTGAATTCAAGCCATCTTTTATGAAGCTTTATCTTCAATCTGTCATAACTTAGAAAATACATAAAGCCATTTCTTGAGTGCATCACTGAAGTTTTGTTTTCGCTTTTTGTAAAGAAAGCTCAGAGAAAATAGGATACTCATGGCAAGAAAATAAGCTTTCTGCTAGGTTTCAAACCAGAAATCTTCTGTTATGGGACACTTAAAAGAAAAGCCAAAGCCAAAAAGACAGAATTGCAGTAGGAACATGGAATGTAAAATGAAGAGCAGCAAGATGGATGGATTCAGGTACAGTAGTGATGAATGCAGCATTGGAAGAACATTGAAGGACCAGATTAGGGACAGATCACCATGGGGAAAATCTTATCTATGTGGTTGTCCTTATCCAAAGACATTAGAAAGAAACAGGATAATAAGAAAGGAATTCCATTTTTGAACCTGCTGGCTGTGCTGCATGTATGTACATGGTGACGTAAACATAAATACAAATGAATTGTGTATGTCTCTGTATCCATATGTGTGCATGAACAAACACAAAGAGAGGGAGATGTTCAATGGGAGAACATGGTCTGGATTGAACATTTTTGCGAGTAATTGACAAGGTGTCTCAGTCTGGAGACGATTTTCTTAAATCCTAAATGAAGCCTTCCTGAGCCTAGGACAAAATCAGCTTAAATGGTAAGCGTGGAAAAGCTTTCTTTTTAAACCGTCAGGGAAGAGGTATTTAGTCACAGTTTTTTAATTTCTGAGCAAACTCCTTAACAAAAACAAATACAAGCCCTCAATTCTATATCCTCTTACTTGAGAGGAAAGCTGCTCGAGCTTTAAGGGATTTCAAGCAGCTGGGATTGGGCTGTTGGCCTTGACTATTCTGTACAGGTAGAAAACAGGTTTTTTTTTTTTTGGTTTTTTGTTTTGTATTTATGTGCTATATTGTTTATGTTGCTCCTGGGGAGCCCTGTTTTCCCCCCATACAGCAGCTACTGCTAGTGTTGAAGGAGCTAATTCCCCAGAGAGCCTCTAAAGCATGCCCTCTGCAGCTTCTCAAAAATTCTCTCCAATTCACTATAAAGAAGTCTGCTGTCAATCTGCAGGCGGGCTCTCTGAAGGATGGTTTCGCCTTTCCCTGCACAAATCAAATGAGGGAAACAAACCTCTGGCTCTAAAAAGCAGGGACAGATTTACTTTATTTCTTACATTCAGAACCCATAACCCATAGATATTCACATACAGTGCGCAGGCATCATTACACAGGCACAAAGACACAAGAACCACTTTAAAGAACATTGGAACTGAATAAATAAATCCCTCAATCCTAAGAGGCTGGCTCAGAGATCTGAGCAGTCACCCTATCTCCCTCACCCAACAGCCAAGGAGGGGCTGCTCAGTTCAAAATCACAGGACCTCAGCTCTTCTTCATCGCCTTTATATGCTCTTTCTGCCTTGCAAAAGTCTTCCTTTTGGCTTTTCCATCCTTCCTGACCTTCCTCCTGGCTAAGTCAGCCACTATCCCCTCACAAGTAACATACACCCAGTGCCTTGCTCTCAGCCTTGCTCTTCTCTTTGTTGACCCATAGTAGACGCTCTTCATCCTTGAGAAGCCCTGCTCCTCATAATCCACGTCAGCCTTGTGTCTTCTCTTCTACTCTTCTACTGCAAATCTTGCCTTTAGACTCAAGCAATCTGCTTTTCCTTCTTGAAATGCCTGACACTCTCTCTTTATTTCTTTAGGCTGTCCATTTCTTATTCTTTCTCTTTTTCTTACCCCTGGCTTCCAGCAGATGTCTGCTTCTCCTCTTCCTTCCCTTCTGTATCTGTCTCCATCAGCCTTTATATCTCTGGAGTCCTGGGTGCTCTCTGAGTTTGGTTGTTTGTTTGCAGATGTTTTATTACCCAGCTAGGCAATATCATCATTGCAAGTGTAATGAAATGTCTGCAAACAAACAACCAAGCTCTGAGAGCACCAAGAACTCCAACCCTGATTCAGGTATTCTCTTTGATTTATATCCTTTCCCAAACTGTAAATTTTGTTCCTACAAATTCTTTGGGGAATAACTATCTCCACCCTTTCCAGGGGTTCTGATTTCCTTGCAGGCTCACACTGTCTTCTTCTAATGTTATTCTTAATTCTATCTTTGCAACAGTAACCTTATTTTATTTTTATTCCAGAGAGCATTTATTTGGGTCCCTCAGAGCTGTTGGAGATTTATGTGTTCTGCTATAGTGCTATTCAGCCATATTTACAAGTCTTTTTATTGTTTCAGACGTCTATGTGATAGTGTTTTTCTTTTTTCACCAATTGACACCTGCGAGAAATTGGTCTGCCTGTTTTACACTTAGCTAATGTTCATATGAAGCTCAGAACTTGAGCCCTCTGTGTTTAGCAGAAAACCAGTTTCTTTCATTAAAACTTATTACTATAAATACAACTTTAAAACTTAAAACTTATTACTATAAAAACTTATTACAATGAAAACTTATTACTATAAATACTATGACTTGATACACAAAGATAATGTTGTTATTTACCTTGAAAGCCATTCTTAAAACTGGATCCTTTGGGTAAGAATTCTGGAATATATTCAATGTAACCTCCTACATAAAACTGACTAAAAACATTGAGTCCCGTCAACTTTCCTGGTGATGTAATAGTTTTGTTTTTTTGACTGTCCACCTTTCAAACAAACAAAAATATGCTATTTATGAGCAACTAAGTATATTATTTCTCATCCTAATGCTAAAAAAATAATAAAAGCATTCATATACATTAACAGAGGAGGAAATTCCTTTTCCTTGCAACTCATTTGAAAATAATTAGAAAATGTTTAATTTCCTGGATTGTGATTAAAAAGGCAGATGGTCAGACTTTTTGCTTGTGTTTCTGTATTTTGCAAAAACTTCTTTATCCATTATTTCTCAGTCTTCCCTAAAATTTCAGGAGCAATTTGTAACAGTGGGATGGAAGTTGTGATGGTAGGCAGGTAGAAAGTGAAAAATGAAATACGATTTTGGAAAGGGAAACTTTTGTACAGTATAAGTGCAAATCTTTGCACAAAAGGTTTTATAGAATCTCATTACTGGTTTCATGCAACACGCTAAGTCATGATTCAGCTTAACCATAATTTATTGAAAATACAATGCAGTATATAAGGTATTATATCATAACTAAGCAAACCTCACTATGATTGATTTTGCTCTTCAAATTGGGCACCTGCTATGCATTTCTGTGTGAATCTAAGTGAAGCTCATTGTTATTTATTTTTCATATTCTCCAAAGGAATTCAGGATGGAATGTATAGTTATTAATTAATTTATTTATTTATTATATTTATACTCCATGTTTCATACAGAAACTCAAGCTGATATCTATAAAACTCTCTCCTCTGATATGTGAAATATATTAGGCTACAAGAGATCTGAAGATGCTTGCAGATAAGAATCTGGGTCTTCCTGGTGCAAATCTAACCCTTAACCACTACATATTGAGGTATTCCCCATTAGGAGAATGAGTGCACTCAGGGAAACGTAGTGAGAGTGGTGAGGAATAACACACAACCAGCATACAGATACACTGAATAGAAAAATGTAGGTTTTACTTCCTGTAAATGGGTAAACAAAGTCCAACAAACAGTCCAAATCATACATGGTTAAAGCAGGTAGTATTCAATACAATCAGTCCAGGGATAATCCAAAAACAAAGTCCAGTTATCATAAACAAAGTTCAGTAAACAGAGTTTGTTAACAGTTTGCAAGACTCACAGCAATCCAAGCAGAATGACGATCAGGCAAAAGGCAATAAGGAAATGCAAGAAGAGAACAAATCAGGTTTCTGGCTCCATCTTATGGCTGTTGGAGGAACTTCAGCCAATCACAATTACAGCACTCTCTTAAAGATACAACAGTATTAAATAACTATCCTGGTTTATATATTGCCAACCCAACTATTAGGTGACTATCATTCCGAACACTACACTATATTGCCTCTCAGATAGATTAAAAACACGTCAATGTCAGATTAAAGTTACATTTTTTCCTTCCCATTTTACCCTGATAGCAGCATTGTGGGATAGCCCAAAAGCATGATAGTGTCATGACTAAGGTCACAATTGTAACCCTTACTACAATAGGATCTACTAACTGTTAGTAGTGAGATGAAGCTTTTCTAAGGCAAGGCTTACCTTTATCCAGCCGCTTCTAAGAAATCTGCCAAGCCTGACTGTATGAACGCGACGTGTCAGATCAAGTGGCTCGCTAGTAATAATTGCGATTCCAGATCCCAGGTTGTAACTGTATACCAAGCTACCATTTCGCAGACCCAGCACTAGGAAATCATCCCCAGTAAGACCTGGAATGAGAATAATCACATCACTGCCAAAGAACCTGCTACAGAGACTTCACTTTAGGTAATTGTGACAAAGTTAGCTTGACAGAATTACCTCATTTCAGATAATTTGTTTGCATGGCATGAGAGTGAATCTTTCTGTTGCAAGTCCTGTCCATCAGACAAATCAAATATCTCCTGCTAGCTTTTCAAAAAGCCTCAAAGACATGGATGTGCTCCTAGGCATATGGGTCAGGAAGTCAGTTAGAACCCATTGGATGTTGTTTAGTTTATTACAGAATGTAAAATAAGAGAGTTGAAAGGGACCTTGGGGATCTTACAGTCCACTCCCTTGCTTGAGCAGGAGCTCTTACACCATTTCCAACAAATGGTTGTCCAGTCTCTTTTTGAAAGCTTCCAGTGATGGAGCACCCACAACTTCTGAAGGCAAGCCATTCCACTGATTAATTATTTTCACTGACAGGAAATTTCTCCTCAGTTATAGATTGAATTGGATTCTAGTAAATTTGTTGTTTTACCTCAGTGGCCATTATCGGTTTTATATTTTGGTTGTAATTTTGTATGGTGTTTTTATTTGTTGTAAGCTGCCCAGAGGCACTGTAGCAAAATGTGTGGCCATTAAAATCCAATTAAATACATTAAAAAAAATCAAAAGTATTTCTTTTTGGCTTTTCCATTTCCCTCACTATACCATAATGAAGACTGTCTTACCATATCAGAAAACAGCCTTCCAAATGACAACTTACCAATAATTGGCAAAGCTAAATTGGAGAAGGAGAACACATTTACATTATAAAAATGAGGAGGAAATGATTTCTGACAACTTCATGGATAGATACCAGCATGTAGTTTTGTGGCCAGAAGAATGAAAGTGGGTTTCTACTGTCTTTTTTCTAGATTTTTAAAAATGTCCTAGTTTAGTCTATAGCCTTGGTTGACTGCTATCAAAGTACTAAACAGGTCAAACTAGGAGCCTCCAAACTTGGCAACTTTAAGACCTGTGCACTTCAACTCCCAGAATTCTTCAGTTAGCCATGCTGGCTGGGGAAATCTGGGAGTTGAAGTCCACAAGTCTTAAAGATGCCAAGTTTGGAGAACCCTGGGTCAAACCTTCCTTAGTGTTTGAAGATCATCAAAGCTCAGCTTAATACTGCCACTTAACTTTAACTTAAGCAAAAGAGAATGCATTAGAAAGTAAATGGTGGAATAAATCTGAGATCTACATTTGCTCAGTGGCATGGCAAGATGGTTGGATGGTTCTAATCAGTAGTGGGATTCAAAATTTTTTACAACCGGTTCTGTGGGCATGGCTTAGTGGGCATAGCACGTCTTGATGGGCATGGCTTGGTGGGTGTGGCAGGGGAAGGTTACTGTAAAATCTACATTCCCTCCCCACTCCACTAACCTGCTTTCCAGCTCCGTTCTCCTGTGCGGGGGAAAAAAAGAAGACCCAGCCGATCAGCTGGGACTTGGGAGGCAGAGAATATGTTCTGTACAAGTCAATTTACATACTCGTAGCCCCGCGTCGCGATTGGCTAAAGCGCGCGGCGACCGGATTGGTCGAGCGAGCCGCACTGATTGGCCCGTTGCGAATCCCCCGCGATTGGTGGAAACTAATCGCGGGAGATTCGAAGCGGTGTCATTGGCCGCGGCCGCCGCGGCTCGGAAATAAAAAGCCGCAGTTTTCCCCTTCAAGCTTAAGCTGTATCCGGAGCCAATAAAGAGCTGAAACTAAGTCACTGACTCCGAGCTTCCTTTCCGCGACGGACACGACACTGGCGACGAAGGTGGGATCCAGAGAATAACCACCGAGCACGTGTCCCGAGGAAGACAAAGACCGACGAGATGGCCAGCATGACCCCACCAGCACCCTTCAACCCCGCTACCGAGGACTGGGAATCGTACACGGATAGATTCCTGATGTTCCTCGAAAGTAGCAATTTGAAGGATGCGAACGGGCAGAAGAAAAGGGCCGTCTTCCTCACACACTGCGGGCCCGCAGTGTTTAAGATGGCCAAAGCCCTCGCGAAGCCCAAGGACGTGAAGGCGATGGACTGGGCCGATCTCGAGCCACTCCTTCGGAACCACTACGCCCCCGCTGTGCCCATCCTCATCCGGCGGGATGAGTTCTATCGGCGGAACCAGCGGCAGGACGAGAGCATTAGCGACTTCATAGCCGCCTTGCGAGACCTAGGGGGGATGTGCGAGTTCAGGGACCTGGACGATGTCCTCCGAGACCGCGTGGTCCTAGGCCTCAGGGATCAGGCACTAAAAAGTCGACTGATGGCAAAAGGCAACATCGACCTCGGGGACGCCCTGGCCGAAGCTTCCGCAGCCGAAGCCACCCGGAAGTCAGCAGCCAGACTTCGGAGGGCAGACAACGGGGACCGCACTGAAACCCCCGAGACAAGCCGACGAGAAACCACCACACACCACGGGGACCTGGACTCCGCCTCCGATACCACGGACGAGGAGGAAGACGTCCACCGACTACAAACAGGATGGGACCGGCGAGATCAACGGGGTCGTAAGTCGGGGAACCAGTGCGCCGGGTGCGGGGGAAATCACCTTCGATCAGAGTGCCGTTTTATCGACGCGATCTGCCGGCATTGCAACAAGAAGGGCCACATCGCCCGAGTCTGCCGACTCAGAAAGACACACAGCCCCCGCCGGCGAGAACCAAGCAACCGGGGACGAGACGACACCCCCCCGAGAACCAGAGATCGCCAAGCCGACTATCGCTGGAACCGAGACAACCGAGGACGACGGAGCAGGGAAGGCCGCCAGAGAGAAGAAACCCACCAGACGGTCACCATCGGCCATGCCGAAACCACGGATGCCTGGAAGGTCTACGTGGAGGTGAGCATCGAGGGCGAGCCATGCCGGATGGAGGTAGACTCCGGATCCTACCTCTCCATGGTCGCCTGGAAAGAACTCAAGCGACTGGTGCCAAACATCCAGAAAAGAGGACTGGAGAACCAGAAGCTGATCATCAAGGACTATCAGGGGAACCGCATCCCCGTCATTGGGACCGGACAGTTCGAGGTGACTTTCAAAAACCGCACCGCGAAACTTCCCCTGACTATCGTGGACCGGAACCGACCCAGCCTCTTAGGACTCCAATGGTTCGCGCCACTCGGGATCGAGGTCACGGGAATAAACCACACCACAGAGGCCGACTGGGAGCAGCAGCTGGCGAGGGATTTCCAAGAAGTATTCGACGGCACCCTAGGCAAGTACAAAGGGCCCCCTATCTCTTTCAGCCTAGACCCAAATGTCGCCCCCATACGCCTAAAACCCAGACGGGTGCCTTTTGCACTCCGGAAGAAAATAGACGAGCAGATTGACAAGCTCGTCAAACAGGGGGTTTTGCAGCCAATCGACCACGCCCGGTGGGAGACCCCTATAGTCACCCCAGTCAAGCCAGATGGGTCAGTAAGGATCTGCGGGGACTATAAGGCCACCCTCAATTGCGCCCTGCAACAAAGCGCCTACCCCGTCCCAGTAGTGCAACACCTATTACACTCGCTGGGGGGGGGCAAAGTCTTTGCGAAGCTCGACCTGGCGCAAGCCTATCAGCAACTGCCGGTCGATGAAGAAACCGCCGAGGCGCAAACAATAGTCACCCACCGGGGAGCGTTTCGTTGTAACCGACTCCAGTTTGGAGTCAGCGTAGCCCCAGGAATTTTCCAGAGCCTCATGGAGAGACTGCTGCGAGGAATCAAGGGGGTGGTTCCCTATTTTGACGATGTATTAGTGTCGGCAGCCAACCAGGAGGAGCTAGAGGGTCGCCTAAGGGAGGTACTAGAAAAATTCAAAGGGGCCGGGCTAAAGGTGAAGAAAGAGAAATGCCAGCTATGCACAGAGCAAGTCGAGTTCCTGGGGTACCTCCTAGACCGACATGGCATCCACCCAACCGGAAGCAAGGTCAAAGCCATAAAGGAAGCCCCCACACCCAAGAACAAAACAGAGCTGCAGGCATTTCTGGGACTGCTAAATTTTTACAATGTGTTCTTGCCCCAAAAGGCGACCGCGGCGGAGCCTTTGCATAGGCTCCTGGACAGGACGGCCAAATGGACCTGGGGGAAACGGGAGGACACCGCATTCAAGAATACCAAAGACCTGCTCACCTCGGATGCCGTTCTCATTCAGTATAATGAGACCCTACCCATCGCTGTCACATGCGACGCCTCACCATTTGGCGTCGGCGCCGTCCTCAGCCATACACTCCCAGACGGAAAAGAAGCACCCATCGCTTTCTTTTCAAGAACACTCAGCAAACCCGAAAGAAACTACAGCCAATTAGATAAGGAGGCACTGGCCATCGTCGCAGCAGTAAAGAAGTTCCACGAGTACCTCTACGGCCGCCGATTCACCCTCATCACGGACCACAAGCCGCTGCTGGGCATCCTGGCGGGGAACAAGGCCACCCCGAACATCCTATCCCCCAGGATGACAAGGTGGTCTGAGTTCCTCGCCGCCTACGACTACCGGCTCACACACAGACCCGGTAAGACGATCTCCCATGCAGACGCGTTGAGCCGCTCGCCGCTTCCCGACCTAGACGACGATCCAGCTCCCACGACGACCACCCTCAGCATAGAGACATTGCCGGACCTACCCATAACCACGTCAGACATTGCCCGGGAGACTAATAAAGACAAGCGTCTGGCGCGGGTATTACATTGGGTAGAAAAGGGATGGCCAGAGAAAGACAACGATGAAGCATTCAGGACATTCTGAAACCGGCAAACAGAACTGTCACTACAGAAAGGTTGTTTGCTATGGGGGGACAGGGTGGTCATACCGGAAAAACTGCAAGGGAAGGTATTAAAATTATTACACGAAGGGCACCCGGGGATTGTGAGGACTAAAGCGTTGGCCAGAAGCTATGCTTGGTGGCCAGGTATGGACAAGGAGATCGAGGCCTGGGTAGCCAAGTGCTCGCGCTGCCAAGAAACCAGACCAAATCCCCCCGCAGCACCAATATTAGAATGGGAAACGCCCAGGGGACCATGGTCGAGACTCCATATAGATTTTGCCGGGCCCACAAAAGGGAACACATTCCTCATCACGGTGGATGCTTACTCCAACTGGCTGGAGGTAAGCAACATGAAGACCACCACAACAGATGCGGTAACCAAGGTCTTAAACAAACTTTTCGCAACCCACGGTCTCCCGGATGTCATCGTGTCAGACAACGGACCCCAGTTCACCTCGCTGGAATTCGAAAGATTCCTAGCGGAACGAGGCATACGACACGCACTGACAGCGACGGCGCATCCGGTGGCCAATGGTAGGGCAGAACGGATGGTTCAATTTACAAAAAGAACCCTCCAAAAGATCGAACACGGGGACATACAAGAAAAAATAAATAAAATGCTCCTAATACAACATATCACCCCAAACACAACGACAAACAAAAGCCCGGCAGAATTACTAATGGGGAGAAAACTAAGGTCACCACTCGACAGACTACACCCCACATACAACCCGGAAAAACCCCCGGACTCATCTAGCAAGCACCGGGTTTTTGCACCAGGCGACGCAGTCTATGCAAAAAACCTTACCGGAGACCCACTATGGGTACCGGTAACTATAACCCAACTGACAGGACCCCACTCCTACCGGCTACAGACAACCGACGGACAAACATGGAAACGCCACATCGATCAAATAAGATCAAGAACAAAAAACACAACCGACACGCAACCAAACACAGACGACCCCGATAACACAAACCAAGAGGGGAGGGAAGATACAGGGGATCAAATAGGAAATAACCAGCAATACTCACCAGTCAACAGCCAGCCCGAAGTCTCACCAGGAAGGAACAGCCAGGCCAGCTCAACCAGCCCGGAAAGACCAGGCAGGAGCGGCGAAAGTCGCAGCTCGACCAACCCGGGTAGACCGGGAGGGAGCTGCAACAAGAGGCCCAGCGACACCTTCCAGGGGGTTCCATCGACAGGGCCAAGAGAAACAGAAGTCCCGACCGAACCGGCCGGGAGCCAAACAACAACTAAGCTGCGCAAGTCAAGTAGACAAGTACGAAGCCCCGCCTACCTACGGGACTACGTTACGTAGGACCGAACCAAGAGGGGAGGGGTGTTCTGTACAAGTCAATTTACATACTCGTAGCCCCGCGTCGCGATTGGCTAAAGCGCGCGGCGACCGGATTGGTCGAGCGAGCCGCACTGATTGGCCCGTTGCGAATCCCCCGCGATTGGTGGAAACTAATCGCGGGAGATTCGAAGCGGTGTCATTGGCCGCGGCCGCCGCGGCTCGGAAATAAAAAGCCGCAGTTTTCCCCTTCAAGCTTAAGCTGTATCCGGAGCCAATAAAGAGCTGAAACTAAGTCACTGACTCCGAGCTTCCTTTCCGCGACGGACACGACAGAATAGATGGGAGCATGGCCACTCAGAGGTGGTATTTGCTGGTTCTCTGAACTTCTCAAAATTTCCGCTACTGGTTCTCCAGAACTGGTCAGAACCTGCTGAATACCACCTCTGGTTTAATAATATTGAATCTCAGCTGACCAGTTGGTTGCCTGCTAAATCCTTTTAATAATTCAGATGAAAGCTGGTGGGGGTTGGTTAGGAGGCAAAAAAGAGTTGATGAGAATCTTCCTTCTGTGGGAGCCTTTGGATTTTGGCAGAGGGATTGTGATGCATTCTATATTCTGATATGTTCTATAGCCCCAGATATGTCAAGGTTTCACATAATTGTGTTTTAGAAAAGACCCAGATAGACAGATTGTTTATTGTTGTTCAGGATTTCAATGGAAATATTATTTTTATGCAAAAATAATATAACAAATTTGGAAAACCAGAAAAGATGAATGCATATTTATTTCTGTCAATTGTTCTTATGATAATATTCATTCCATTCATTCTCAAATAAGAGTGAGAATATAAATATTACAGGGAGGAGCCAAGACGGGTGAAGCAGCAGCATTTACCCAGAGCTCTTCTATGTTTTTTATTTACACTTATTTTTATTGCCTTTTTTTTAATTTTTGGCCATTCACAACTAATTTCTCCTTCTGGAGATAATAACTGGCCAGAGAGACTAACTGACTGGGAGAGATAAGGTAGGGAATGCTAACAAAAACAGCCTGGAAAAGGATAAGACCATGAAATGCAAAGGTGAACACAAGAACCAACCCAAGAACAGTTGAAGGAAGAGCTCTGAGACATGCAAGGACATCCAAGATCATAAGCAACCTACAGAGGAAGATCTGCTGCAACACAATAATATTGGTTTGATCATATTTTCATAGCAAAAACAAGTATGTGATACTTGACAGGAAGAGTGAGGAACTGACCATTCTCAAAGAGAAAGAGCAGTAAGGAACTGAGGAAGCCAGGTGTTCGATTTTCGAGGTAGTCCAGACAAGAAGCACAACCAGGAATAGTATCTCTATGTTAATTGTAAAGTTACTATAATGGAATCTTGCAAGGCTGGAAGTATTTCCCTTCTCCATTCATTTTTACTCTTGGGAAAATTAGGGAGGAGCCCTTCTGAAATGTTTCCCACAGTCCTTCTTCCTCATGTAAGATATCTTTTATATACTGGATGTCCAGTCTGACATTCTCCCTCCCATCTCCGAAGGTCATTCTCACGTACCACTACACAGGGAAACTTGAAGATCCTCACTTTGAGTTTGAATGCATATACTGATATAGTCATCTAACATCAGTTACTGGCAGATAATTGATAACCTTCCATCATAATTTCCTAGGTTCTATACGGAAACTCTTTCCAAATGCTTACCTTGGCCTTTCTGACCAGTGAAAAAGAGGAGATTGTCTTGTAGTGATGAGTTGTGGTTTGCCAGCTGAAATTTCAGACGGAATTCATAGCACAGGCTGATGTTTGGTATTGCTGAATATGCTAGGAATGAGGTATAGCCAAAAGCATCTGTCCCACTGAAGCTAGGATAGGTTATATTCATGACTGTTAAAAAAATAATAAAAAATTGTTTGCAAAAAAATAGCATTAAAAAAATAAAGCACGGAGAACCAGTAGCATGCAATTTGGAATCCCACCACTGTATCTATCTATCTATTGTTTGCAGGACATAAGTGGCTACTGATGTAATGACTCTAGGTAGCTCACAACAATCCCTAAAAACATCCCCACCCTAGCCCAATGCTTGTGGGAAGAGTCAGGTCTTCACAGCCTTCTGGAAGCCTGAAAGGATAGATAGATCCCTCAAATTTCAGTTAGAAAGTGTTCCAAATGGCTGGGGAAGTCATTGAGAAGGTGTGTCTCCAAGGTCCTATCAGATGGCAACTTTTAAGAGAGGGGATCTGGAGTGTGCCCAGCCTATCTAACCTAGTAGAAGGGATTGAAACAGCATCTGAAAACGTCTAGGATCAAGCAGTCTGATATTTCTCAATCTGTTGTCAATGTGTGGGAACAAGAACAAAGTTTCTCTTCAAATTTAAAAAAAAATATTTTGCAAAGTTGGTAGCTTTGAAAGCTGTTCCCAACAGCCACCACCTCTATGTGCACGCATGGTCGCTTTGCTTCTTCTTCTTTCCAGAGAAACAATCTGGCTCTGCATACACGTCATATAAGGGCAACCAGGAGCAGCTTCCCAAGTAGCTGCAAGAAACTTGTAAAATATATAGCTGCTTTATTAAGTTGAAGAGATACTTTGTATTCCCATAAACTATAAAATGCCTACAGGTAATCCTCAATTTATGACCAGGATTAGGACCAGAATTTTCATAGCCAAGCAAGTTGAGTCATGCTCAATTTTAGGATGCTGTAGTTGTTAGGCGGATCTCTGCAGTACTTACATGAAACATGCCATTATTAAGCAAATCTGTCTTCCCTCACTGACTTTGCTTGTCAGAAGCTGGCTTGCAAATGATGATCACATGACCCTGGGGCATTGCAACCAGCATAAATACACGCTCGTTGCCAAGTGCCTGAATTTTGATCATGTGACCATGCAGATTCTGTGACGATCATAATCTGAGGATTGGTTTTAAGTCATTTTTTTCAGTGCCATTATATCTTCGAACAGCTGGTAAACAAATGAGGACACTTGAGAACTATCTGTATTTCAAGATTTACACAGCCTAATGTTTGTTTGTGTGTTTGTGTGTAATACTAAACTAATTAACAGAAAACATGTACACAAGCACTGACCTATATATGAAAATGAAATATTCCAGTGAACTCCAAAATGTTTTATTTCTCTGCTTGACCGTGTGCAAACTCCTATGGACCATGCCATTCCAGCAGCAGTTTAGTTGTTTCCCAAAGTAAATATTGCAAACTGGAAAGAAATGGAAGTGTCTCAGACACATTGTTTGAGAGGAAAGATTTAGATTACATCCAATTCAGAGCAGGGTGAAATTCAACCACCTCAGCCCACCTCGGGAGCGGTGGTAGGGATGATTTGAATCAGTAAAAAAATCACCCCTGTTTGCTATTACTATTATACCAAGTATACCAAGCCATGCCCACAGCCATGCCCACAGAGCCAGTAGGGAAAAATTTTGAATTTTACCCCCAGTTCAGAGGCTTTTCTTCGGAAATGGCCCACTGCCACCAGAATGGCATGATGCAGGGCAGAGGTATTGGCACAATGTGGGGAGGGAATAAAACATTTTGGAGCTTTGTACATCCCATTATTAACAATATGGATGACTTTAATCTCAAATAGGGATACAATAAGATGCATCCAGATCATACGGGTTAATGTTCTAACATTGAAATTGGCTTTCGAATGACAATTTCATCCTTTTCAGTTTCCTTTTTAAAAAAAGGGAAGGGGGTTCTGGCTTAGAACTCATAATTGTTCTTACCATCATTACAAAGAATTCCAGTTCTTCCATATGGACAGAGGCACACAACATCCTGGTTAGATTTAGGAAAACAAGTTGCTCCATTCCCACATGGATTTTGCTCACAGTTTGAAAGCTGACATAATTTTCCAGCATAGCGAGGAGGACATTCACAGAACCAGTTCTCTGTGTCACTGTAGAAAGGAGAGAGAGAGAGAGAGAGAGAGAGAGAGAGAGAGAGAG